AGAAAGCTGGTCTGATCATCTCTGACACCTCCTCCTGGCCAGGGTGATTGCCACTGAATTGCCTTGTGTGTGGTGGCTGATATAAGCATGTACATTTGCTGGAGAAAAGGAGGCAAAATCCAAGGAGTAGTAACCCTCTAATGAGAAAGTAAGGTCAAGGTCAAGAACCACCTTTATTTTACTATCCCATATAATCCTTCATCTCAGAAGGAAGGTTGGGCAATCTACTTCCATAGTGATACTGCCTCAGAAACGCGAGGGGTCGCTATGAGTCTGATCCAACTCAATGGCAGTGAGTTTGGTTTGGTAAAATCCTTCATGTAGTATTTAATACAAATTAAATAATTCTCAAGGTTGCTACAGCTAAAAGACTACATTAGTTTTCAAAAATGTTCTTTAAGTTGTAGCATTCATTGTATTACTTCATGCAGTGCTAATTCAGGTATTTTCCCTTTCTGTTGCTGCAAACTGTTAAAAAAAAAAATTAGAGCCTGTGTAACACACAAAATGACACATTTAATGACCAAATTTTTTTTCTTAAGCATAACTTACATCTTAAAACGAAAAATTACAGAATGTTAGTATATAAAATTATGAAGTGATAGGTCCTAAATGTCTCATTAACTATTTAAAATAACAATATTAACTATTAGTGCCAACTTTGCACCCAGCTTTACCCTCTATATCCAGAAAGTATTACACAGTACATTTTGCAAAGTAATGAGTATATTACAGGTACTTGAGAATAAATTGATTAAAGACATTTTATTTCACCTTTTTTTTTTACAATTAGACTCTAGCTATACTTTATTCAAGGAGCTCTGGTGGCACAGTGGCTAAGGAATTTGACTGCTAACCAGAAGGTTGGTGGTTCAGACCCACCAGCCACTCTATACAAGGAAGATGGGGCAATCAATCTATTTCTGTGAAGATTTATGTCAGAAACCCAGTGGGGGTCACTTAGGAGTTGTAATAGACTTGATGGCAGTGAGTTGGCTTGTTTATTGATACTTTATTCAGGGACCTCTCGTGGTGTAGTGGTAAAGCATTTGGGTACTAACCATAAAGTCAGTGGTTCAAATCTTCCATCTGTTCCATGGAAGGTGAGGGAGTCTGCTTCTGTGAAAATTTAGAGCCTTGGAAACCCCATGGGGCAGTTCTACTCTGCCCTAAAGGGTCACTATGAGTTGAACGACTCAAGGGCAGTGGGTGGGATACTTAGTCATCTTATATTTTAGCCGAGAATCACAAAAAAATGTAGTAAGGAGAAAGTAATGACATGCTTAATTTTTGTAGGTATTTTTATGTACCCTGCAATACTGCCTAAAGGCATTTGACTACTAACCAGAAGACTGGTGGTTCAAACCCACCAGCCACTCCTCAGAAGGAGACTGTGCAATCAATCTACTTCCGTAAGAAATACAGCCTCAAAAACCCAAGGAGGTGTTGCTATGAGTCAAACTGACTGGATGGCAGTGAGTTTGGTTTTGAGATTTTTTTTTGTTGTGATATTTGTCAGAAGAGTCTAGAACCATACTGTTTTATATAATTTAAAATTTTCTAGTCGTCACGTTAAAAAATGGATAAACAGACAAAACTAATTTCAGTAATATATTTTATTTAACCCAATTTATAAAAAGTAATATGATTTCAACATGCAACCTATACAAAAAATGAGATGTTTTACATTCTTTTTTCCCTATCAAGTCTTCAAAATTCAGTGTGTATTTTATACTTACAGCAGATTACAATTTGGGCTAGCCACATATCAAGTGCTCACTAGTGGCTAGTAGTTACTATATTGGACATCTCAGGGCTACAGTTCCAGCCCTTTTCTATCTCCAGTGTAGTATTAACCATAAATGTACAAAAACAAAATACATGGAAGTTGATCCAAAGCTAAGTAATACCATTAAAATGGCAAATGAAAGATTAAATGTTACAGTGTTTGAACCATTTCTAATTAAATGAATAATACTGCTGTTATTTGGGAATGGTTTTGCAATCATTTTGATATCATTTTTCAGAAATGCCTTCAAAAAATGGTTTCTTATTTCCATTACCTCATCAAAAGTCTTTCTGGATACTTGATTGTTTTTGTTTTTCCCCATTTAAGACTTGTAGTGCAAATGGTTAGCAAGCTCAGATGCTAACCAGAAAAGGTTAGAGGTTCAAGTCCAACCAGAGGCACCTTGGGGATCCACTTCCAAAATATCAACCAATGAAAATGCTATGGAGCACAGTTCTAGTCTGACACACATGGGGTTAACTCCACAGCAACTGAAGTGGAAAAAACTTGTTCATTTTATAATTCAATGCTTATCTGACTAGTATGTGTAAAACATTAGGCTAGATGCAGTGACAGATATAAAAGACACCCCATCTCTGCTTTCACATAGCTTCCAAACCAGTGAGAGTGACAGACATATGAAACCATCTCTTTGTATTTTATTGTAGCACTGTGTCAATTATTTGCATATCAGTCTTTCCTCAGTTCTTTAACAATGATGGGAATGGACTTCCTATCCTTTTTATTTTCCCAAAGCCTAACAGATGCCTTAATATTTGTCGATTTACTACAATGAATAAGCATGTATTCTTTTCTAGGACACAGGTCCCTAAATGTAAACTAAGAACATAAAGAAACATTTCCCCCCTTCACTATGGAAAACAGAAAAAACTGAGGCAGAAGAGTTATCAAACTAAGCCAGGATTTGACACAAATAGAAAATGGTGAAGACACATTTAGAAAATAGCAAGTTTTTAGACGAAGTGTGGAAATAGAAGAATGCATCACTTATAATAGATACTCTCTGATCATTTGTTTACTAAATGCACAAGAGTGAAGAGATTGACCTAAGAAAATTATATGCAGAGACAGAAATGGAAGATTTGGTAAGTGGAAAGGTGGTGGTGCTGCATATGTTTTATGGAAAAAAAATGAAGTCCTTATGTAAGCAGTTGCAATTAACATTTCAAAGTAAAATAACAGCAGCAGCAATAACCCAATCTACCTTAGAAGATATAGTAGTGTGCCCTGTATTCTTACCTTTAGCCAATGCCTATATGTCCACTAAAGAACTCAAATGATTCTATAATGTGCCATTAACTTGAACAATTTCACTCAATCATGTTTATGCAGCAAGGTGAAAAATAAGAAATTTAGCAGAATGACATGTTTTTGTTTTACCATCATGCATATAGAGAAGACACATATGCCAGTGGTACACTTGCCATTTGACAAAGCAATCTCACAAGTATTTATTCCATCTAGAAAAAGATACACATCAAGTACTAAGTTGTTACCTAGTAAAATTACCAAGTGAGATAATCAATCAGAGCCAATATTTTTTGTAGACTATATTTTCATGAAGACAATAGTTTCAAAGTCTTTAGAGTTTGACAAGACCAAGTTCTTTACTTTTCTAAGGATACAGTTTTAATAGAAACATACTGAAAACTGTTATGAATATTCACATAAGTTTCTAATATTGTACAAGACTGACATTCTCCCAAATGTTCTCAACTGAAAGCAAAAGAACAGCTTGTACAACTCAATTATTCCAGTAAGCAGAAATAGAAAAGGTAACAGGATTTTATTAAATACTAGTAAAATAAAGGAAGAAAATTAATCTTCAAATGAATAGTTCAACATAAATTTTTTTCAACAAAAGAGAAAAACACACCTAAACCTGCACTGTTTCTTCAAAAGATCCTTTTCTAGGCAATATATTTAACACTTCAATTCTATCCATCCCAATCCTGAGAAAAATATTTCTCCTCCCATCACCCCTTTCTTGTAGGTACTATCAATCCAGTCTTAATTCCAGGCCCAATTTTCTAGCTTATTTCTTCTGTATCTGGCCTTTTTATTATTTTCTCTTAAGGCACCCACCACAATCTCTTAAATTCTTCCATCCACTCTAAACTAGAACACCTTTCATCTGTTTTCTGCCTGTCTCTCTCAAACCTTCTATATGTTGCTAAAAAAGGAGAGAGGTGGTGTTGGGAAGATTAGAGGGGGCAGTAGGAGCTCTGGCAGTCTATTTTACAAGACAACCTCTGTTACTGGAAATGACAAAGTAAAAAGCTTGCTTTTGCAGATGTTTGTGAACCATCCCTTTTTTTTTTCTTTTAAAGCAATACATAAGACAAAGTATGTTTACTGGTACCCCAAAACTTTATCATGTTTAAAATGAAGAAGGGAGGCAAACAAAGGAACCTAGATTTTGTGAACTCATCGGTTGAGTCTGAGAAAGCCTGGCACTTGGAAAAGACGTCATCCTTACCCTTAGCAGAAAGATGGCTCTAACCACTTGTCTAACAGTCAATAGGGATTCTGGGAGAGTGGGAATGTGAGGAATCAAGAGGTCATCTGTGTGCTGGCTGGAATCCTGGGTCCACCACCAGTTCCGAAGATCCTTGTTCATTACAAATCAGTGAAGCTGATCAGTCTGGAAGATGTTCATTCAGAAGGCAGCAATCAAGGAAGAGTGGGCATAGCCAGTAGTAAGCAGCAGCAGAGTAAGAAGAGCAACCAAGTCACATAAATCACATAAACTGGACCACTGCGGCTCTCCCTTGACATCATTAATGCCCAACAGTTTTCCACAGGCCATGTGCCAGATGTGAAGCAAGGTGGTAGAATAAGCTTCTAGCCAAAGCTAGAAATGCAGGTCATAGTAGCCAAACAAGAAGCCCTAGAAACAATGAGGGTCCAAGCAGTGCAGATAAAAGTGTCTCTGTAGCATCATTTGCTTGCCTTAGAAGTAGTGTGAACCATGGCATGCAGTGTGTGGTGTTAATACAGAACAGAATGAAGATCATGTGAAAGAGGAGGAGTATGAAAGTCTCTCTTGAGGTTAAGAGAACTAAATGTTCAGAGGGCAGGTACACAAAGCACAAAAAAATGTGGAAAGCATACTCTTCCCATAGGCCAAGCACAGGTCTAGCAGGAGGTGGCAGGGGGCCTTGTGCAACAGTATTTCCAAGGGCAGAGGTTAACCAGACTGGAATCCAAAGGGCCTGGGAATCTCAACTGGCTCCCGTATTGGGCGGCGTCTGGGTCTACGGGCCCCTCCACGCAACAAGTAGTACTGCAATGGATTTGGCCACAGGTCCTCTTTGATAATCTCTGCGATCCTGTCAGACTCTGGAAGACTATGGTCTGAAAACCATGTGAAGAAGCTACAGATGATATCTTGGTTCCTGCGAATGAAGGACTGGGGTTCATGGCCTCTTCGCCATATAATGGGAGTGGAAAGAGATACCACTCGGCCTGAGGAACTGACCTCATATTCCTTGACAATCAACTTGTTTCTGAAGAAGGGGTTTCTTCGGAAGAAGAACTTGAACTTGCAGCCCGTCCTAGGGTGTCTGAGCTCCTTCACCTCCAAATTAATTATGTACCTTATCATCTCCGCATCTTGGCCCCTAATGATGGCGGACAGCTTGGGGTGGTTCCGAAAGGCAGTGGCCCAGAAGCCGGGGATATTCTGAATGATGTAATTCCTCCGCTCTAGGTAGTGCCTACGTATCCGCCCAAACTTCTGCTCCAGCTGGAGAAAGGCCCTGTCAGCCTGAGCATTCACGCTGTCCAGTTCCTGCTGAATGGCCTCCAGAGGGTTCACGTGGACAGCTATATTAAGGGGCCCGAGCCTTGCCTCCTCAATCACTCTATTTTCCTCCGCCACTTTCATTTCTTCATCTTCAGGCTTCTCTACCACCTCCATCTCCTCCACTACCTCGGCCCTCTCCTCATCCATTGCAACTGAGATGGCGCACTTTTCAGACTTCACTTGCATGGCCCCAACTATCACCTCAGACCCGGACCTCCCTTCGTCAAAGGTCTCTAGTGCCTTCTCCGCGCCAGAGCCGAGAGACTCTCCTCCCTGACAGTTATTTTTTAGGCTGCTATCAATTCCCACGGAGGCAGACGCTGCTTCAAGGCCTTCTGTGGAACGCGGAGCCTCTTCCTTCCGGCCTAGATGACCGCTACCCCCACTGACTTGGGTCTGGGAAGTATGGCCACAGCCCGTGGGGTCCCCGAATGCGTCCCCGTCCTCTGGAAACTGGGGAGACTGCAGTGCAACGATTTCCGAGCTGCCCTTACCAGTCTCTGCCATTACCGGTGTCGCCTCGGTTCCCTCTCGGAAGCTCTGGCACTGGTGTGGGTCCAGGTCTCCTGGGGCATAGTCGGGCGTGATGCTGCAGTTTTCGGGGCCAAGGGTCCTCTCACCCCCGTCCAGGCCGCTCATGTTGGTAGCAGGCGACCGCCAGTGGTTGAGCGACACTTTCCCTCACCGCAGCTGCGCACCAAAGTGTTTGCACCACCCACTCTTAGTCTCGCGATTGTTTCCATGGCGGTGACGTCAGAAATGTAGACTTTCGGCGCAGCGCGAGAACTAGGTGCGTCGGAGATTAGCTCTGCGCTTATTGGCTATTCAAGTTTATTAGTTTTACTTCTATGAATTTAATCAGTTGCATCCGTGATTTGGCATTATAAGTAAATGTAGGTCGGTCCCATATACATAAGGACTATGAAAATTAGGATCTCTGTGTCTGAAGGCAGTGACAACCCTTTCTGCGATGTATCTGGAAACTCCTTCCAGTCTGTAAACTGAGAGTTGCTATTCCCTAGCTGAAAACATTCCGCCCGGTTTTCAAATTTTTTGAGGCAGGAAAGTAAATATATTCCTTGTTATTTCATAATGGCTAGGAGCAAAAGTCTTCCCTTCACTTTAACTAAGTACCGAGTTGTTTCTCTTTCCTCAAGTGGAAGTGACAGGAAAAGATCGATTCAAACCTCAAACGTACCTGGAAGAAAAAGCTACTCAGCAGCTTTTTTCATTTTTTTTTAACTACTAAATTGACGGATATTATTCATTTCTAGTCCTTAATTTATAATCTGCATCAAAGAGGAGCTTGTGCTGCGTAAGGTCTGCAGGCAGGGAGCCAGGAACAATTTGCTAAATCTTACTCCACGGTTTCTCACTGCAGCAAAGAGGAAATGATCGGCTATTTCCAGCCCCTTAAACGATTAATGTATTAATGTATTAAGTTCTGTAAAGTAGGAAAGGTTGACTTGAAGTATCTTTTCATGGCATTCAGCCCCTAGGGTTCATTTGATAGGGATGTCAGTGTCTTTTTGATCATTATAATTAGTTTGTTCGTGAGGAAACTGGTATCCTAGAGTTACAAAGTCTCAGAGAAATACCAGGTGGGGGAGGGAGCATACAGCACCATTTTTAATGAGGAAAAAACAGGTTAAAATGGATTACTACAATGGCTTTGAAGTAGAAAAGAGACTTGCAGGATTTCAACATGCGGCTACTTGATTTACCCAGGTAGAAGAGGCAGTTTTCCGCTATTTTCTTTGCCTGTGTGGGAGACTGAATAATGGCCCCTAAAGATGTCCCCACCCTAATCCCAAGAATCTGTGAATTTGCTGCTACTTTACATGGCTCTGATAGCATAGTGCCTAAGGCATTTGATTGCTAACCAGAAGGCTGGCGGGTCAAACCCACCAGCCACTCCTGGGAAGGAAGGTTGGGTGATCTACTTCTGTACTGATATACCGCCTTGAAAACCCCAGGAGGGGTCGCTATGAGTCGGATCAGACTCCACGGCAGTGAGTTTGTTTTTGTTTTTACATGGCAAAAGAGACTTTGCTGGTATCATTACACTAAGGAATTTGAGAAGAGTATCCTAGGTTATCTGGATAGGTCCAAGGTAATCACAAAGGTCCTTATCAGAAGGCACCAAGAGTGTCAGAGTCATAAAGAGATGTGCTAATGGAAGTAGAGGTCAGAGAGAGAAAGATTTGAAGATGTTACCTGCTGGCTTTGAAGACAGGAAGGACTAGGAGTCAAGAAATGCAGACAGCCTCTAAAAAACTCAAAAACTAAACCCACCACTGTACAGTTGATTCTGACTCATAGCAACCCCAGTTGGGTTTCTGAGATGGTAAATCTTTATGGAAGTAGATTGCCAAGTCTTGCTTCCACTGAGCAACTTGTGGGAAACTGATTCTCCCCTAGAGCCTCCAGAGGAGTGCAGTCCTATCAACACCTTGTTTATAGGACTTCTAACCTCCGGAATTATAAGATAGTAAATTTGTGTTGTTTTCAACCACTAGGTTTATGGTAATTTTTTACAGCAGCAATAGAAAACTAATACAACTTGGACTGAAGTTTGATGGAATCTGCTTGCCTCCATTTTTTTTTCTAATAACCTTGCTGCTTGCTTCCCCTGAGATCCTGCCCAACAGCTGTGATTTATAATAGCTTGAGTCCTGAGACCATAAATATGCTTAGGCAGTATACAGAAAGACAAAATTAGAACCAAAGGCTACCAAAAAGAGATACTTGAGAAAAGAATGGAGCTCAGGAAGACAGAGATATGGCTTTGTTTGCCACTGTATACCTAGTGCCTGGTACAGTGTTCCATAGATTCTAGAATGTTAAATGGATTAAAAAATGAATAGAACACAGTTTCTCTTGCCTGCAACTTGGGGTTTGCGGGGGGCGGGGGTGGTGGTGGAAACAGGACTCATGGATTGTCACCCTGCTCTACTCCCTATCTACCACTGGCAAACCAGAGGATCAACTTACTGTCTGCAGTAGCAGAGCTGGCCAGGAGAACGAATTTCTATATATGTGTCAAAAGATAGGAAAACCACAGGGAAAATTGTTTTATAAATACTGTACAGTTGTGTGGTTACACTGTACGAAAAACAAGCTCTGAAAGGAGTTTGGTTTAGGTCTGAAAGGACTTAAATAAAGGATAGTTAGGTGAATTTATATAGCAAAGCTTCAAACTTCCCACACTGCATTTCTCTTCTCATTCTTCTCTCCTCTCTGTATAAGCCAAGGAATAATTCCAGGCTTACTTCATTTCCTTTGCAAGAAATGGATATAGATCCTTTGATGCATAGCTGAAATTACTTTTGGTAGAGATAAGAATGAATAATGAAACTTTCCACAAGGCCCAGTTATTTTTAATTGCATGAAATCATCTTGTATCTTGGAGCTGGAATAATTTAATTGGGCCTAAAGTAAAAACTTTTATTACCATAATTTGCCTTTATGTCAAAGCAGAAAATAGTAACAGGCTTTGACCAGTCCTAGAAGATATGACTTTATTTGTCAAAGTCGCCATTATTATTTCTGAACATGTAATTAGCCTTCTGACTGATAATAATAGGAAAGATTCCAATTATGGATGGTTTAAAGTTAATGTAATCAGGACTCTGCTGGTTGAAATTTCCCCAGATAGGTTAAGACATTTTGAAGGAATACTTTTATTCTCCCTGTTAGTGTGTTGAGGAGGTCTGGTGGCATGGTACCTAATGCATTTGACTGCTAACCAGAAGGCTGGCAGTTCAAACCCACCACCCACTCCTTGGAGGAAGGTTGGGCGATGTACTTCGTTAGAGAAACCCAAGGAGGGACTATGAGTCAGAATTGACTTGATGGCAGAGAATTTTTTTGTTTTTGTTTTTTAATTTAGTGTGTACATTTGAAAAAGCTGTAATGTGGAATATTTGATTGAATATATACAGAAAATACGGACAAACGTAAACTTCTTTGGATTTTAATGATCTGAAAATCACATTTGAAAAATAATTATAACTCTTCATTACAGATTATGAAGAGCCCAGGTTATAATAACTTCTAAATAAGTGGTTAGGAAACAGGCTAGGTGAGAGGCAAGGGTTTAGAAGAAAAGCAAATTTGTGTACTATGTTCCATTTCTTTTTCTAAAGAATTTTTTGCGTGAGTGAAGAAAGTTTCTCGGGGATTTTAATGTAATCCAAGACTTATGTGTTTAGGGAGAATTATTTTAACATGCACAGAAAAAAAAAAAAAGGTTACTATTTGCCTCAAAACTGAACTTTTTATAAAAGGGCTATTTTCTATGGATTTTCTTTTTCTTTACATTTTGTAGTCTTTGAAAGGATATGTGTCTGTTATACGTGACACAGATTTCCTAGCCATTCTCTAAGACCTAGAATAAACCCATCTTGTTTTAAAATGTGCTAGATGTTTCACATGCATTCAATTAAAGTTTATAAGAAAGGAAATAGTAACTCAGAAAGGTTAATTAACTGAACCAAGGTCATACATATACTCAGGGGCGTCCAGCTGATTCTGACTCAGCCCTCGCTGGAACGGAGAACTGCCCCATAGGGTTTCCAAGGCTGCAAGTCATTACGGAAGCAGACTGTCTCCTCTTTCTCCCACAGAGCGGCTGATGGGTTCCAACAGCCATCTTCTGGTTAGCAGCGGAATGGTTTAACCACTGCGCCACCAGAGCACCACTAGGGTTTTTTTGAATGTAGAGCTTTTACTAAGTTTTTCCAGTTCAATCAAAATAAGGGAGGATATTGTGATAAATGTCCACAGAGGCTACAATTTTCCTTTTACCTAAGGTTCCAATGTGACTCAACATGGCGTTGCAGCAGAGCAAATAACCGGGGGAGGGGAGAGGGGGAAGGAGGGGGGAGGGGGAGGAGGAGGGGGGAGGAGCTCGCTGCCGTGATCCCGACTCATAGCGACCCCTCCTTGGGTTTCCGTGGTGTAGCTCTACCTAAGTAGATTGCCCAATCTTCCTTCCGAGGAGTGGCTAGTGGGTTTAAACCTCCAGCCTTCTGGTTAGCAGGCAAATGCGTTAGGCACTACACCACCAGAGCTCGTTGCAGAGCAAGTAGTAGCTGCTAAATTCTTCCTCCCCTCTCCTAGATGCAGTTTTCTGGGACCCCTCTATTGCTCACTCATCCTCCTCCCCTGGATTTCTCCAGCTCTTGTACAAGCTTTGCCATGCAATTTGGCACTTAATTATATCCTTCCTCCTAGGGCCTGTTTCACAGATGCTGTCTCATCATCCTAGCATTCCCAAGGAATGGGAGTACTGTGGTTTCTTCTTCTGTTGTTGTATTTACTCAGCATAGTGATAACTACTAATAATACCTGATGATTTTAACAAAATAAAACAAATGAACTTACAAAACCTAGTAATACATCTATATCAGCATTTTGTTTTGGCTGTTGTTGTTATGTGTCATCGAGTGGGCCCCAACTCATAACTACCCCTCCTTGGGTTTCCAAGGCAGTATCACTATGGAAGTAGATTGCCCAACCTTCCTTCGGAGGAGTGGCTGCTGGGTTTGAACCGCCAGCCTTCTGGTTAGCAGTCAAATGCCTTAGGCACTATGTTACCAGAGCTCCTTTGTTTTGGCTAGGCTTCATAAATTACC